GCTCCGGGCTGGTGCAGGGGGGGATGTGCCCTCCAACATCGTTGGGGTTGTGCCCTCCCGGGGGGCTGGGGATTTTGCACCCTGAGGAACAAGGGGTTTTGCCCCCCGAGGGTTGGGGGTTTTGACCCCCGATGGGTGGGATTTGGCACCCCATGGCTGGGGGTTTGCACCCTAGGGATTGGCTTTTTTGCAACCCAGGGGGTGGGGGTTTTGCCTCCCCTCCCCGGGGGTTGGGGTTTGGCAGCCCAGCTCAGTTGCTTCCCTAATGCCAATGGGCACCCCCACGTTTGCAGCGTGGGTTTAACTTTGCCTTGAGTTTTACTGCTGCGATCACGCTTCAGTCTCTCCTCGCTCCTCGGAGAAGCGGTTGCAATAGACTCGCTTTTGCTGCGGAAGAACGGGCACTTCTGCTGGGGGGGGCAGATCTCAAAGGGCAAACCGCTGTGCTGTTCGCAGCGGTGCGGGTTCGACATTCTGCACCGGGGCAGAAACCATTGGCCACGCACAGTCAGGCTGGGAGCAGCTCCGTGGGATGGGATCTGGAGCTGGCGTGGGTCCCTTGTACCCTGCTGCTGGGAAAAGCACCGCGCACCCGGCTCGGCGGTACCGCTGCGCTGCTTCAGCTGGCTGGCTGTGTTCAACCGTCAGTTTTCAAGGTAAGGATCGCGCGTTTGCCTCTGCTGGGTTTCCAGACCTGGGGCTGGTTAGCTGTCTGAGAGGTTGTAGGAGTTGTTCTGCGCTGATTTGGGGGTGGAAAGAAACCGTTCGTGCCCTGAGCAATGCTGCCCTTCGAATGGGAAAGTTGGATGGAGGAAGAGAGAGAGAGAAGGAAAGTCAGTGCAAAGGCTCTCTTGCTGCGTGGCCTCCTTGAATGCGTGTTTTACAGGTGGAAGCATCCCCAGGGATGTTCCTCCTCCTTTATCACCGCACACCAGCCTTGCAGAGCAATGCACTGTTTGACAAATTACTGAACTGCTGCAGTCTCGGCACGTGGCAGAGGGGAGGAGGGAAATGTGTTTTGAGGTCCTGGGGCAGGTACGGTTGCGTGCTGCCATACGCTGATTTGTACTTGGTTTAGCAGAGGAGCAGAGTCAGGCAGCAAATATATTTCCAATTTTCATAATTCCTCTAAGATTTTAAAATGCAGTCAGCCTTGAGATTGCAGAGCTTTTTTTCCTCCCCTGCCATCAAATTCTACCATTTAGTGGTGAAATTAACCTTTTATTTGGGCTTTGTCTGCTGAAAAAATCAGTATATTAAAGGAAAACTGCTGAAATGTTGGAGTTGCTTCTCTCAAGCAGACTGAGAACAGAATCTAGCCCATCAATTTTTGAAGTGAAGCAAAACAGTAACGTCCGAATACGAACAACCCAAACCCTAAGGCATCTGAGATCCCCAGAAACCTGGGATGATCCCACGTCATGGTACAACTGGGCATTTATCCCATTGATTTAAGAAGGCTCCTTACAGGAAAGGCTGAAAGACTGATATTAAAGAAAGACCCTGCGCTGTATCAGCGGCCTAACCACAGGAGCTGCTGCAACTCATCATAGGAGAATTTAAAAGCTCCAATATTTAAGTTGTGGAAGTACATCCCTCGGAAGGATGGCACATCTCGCCTGCGGATGAGCTTCCAGGGGCTCTCTGCCTGGGGATCCTTGAAAAGGAGCCAGGAGCAGCAGGACCCTGTGGTCTGCACCCTGACTTAGAGTTCGGGGTTCAAACCTGCAGTTTCAAGCATCCGTCATCCCTTCTTTTTTGTTGTGGGAGAAATCATGGGTGTCAAATGAGGAGAGTCTCGTTTCCAGTCCCTCAGCCTGTCTTTGTGTTGACCAAAAACCAGTACGACCAAGAGAGTGTTCCTCTAATGTTTTGTGAGTGTGGGCACATTTGTCTCATGTATTTGTGCATCGTTGTGTCGTGCTCCTAGACGTATCCTGCGTGAAGCAACCTGCTGTCAGTTTTTCACTTGAGAAGACCTTTTAACCCAGGCTGGTGGCTAAGGTGGTACTTGAGTAGCATGGAGAGCTTCCGAAGATGAAAAATAGCTGTGTCCTAATTCTACTGAAAGTTTGAGTGCAGTGTGTGTTCAGAGATCACTACCAGAGCAACGTTGTGTAAGTAATTATCTGCTTTAATTAGAGTTGTACTAACACTTATACATACCTAACAACCGTTGTGAGCACAGTCGTCGCTTGCAGGAGAAGGAAGATGTGACTTTTAAACCTTCTTGTTTCAGTGTTACATCTAAAAACCCCAAGTAACGAATCCAGCATTCTCATCTATGATTATTCAAGGCCATGGACCAAAAATTTGACATTGATTTTTTTAAAACTTTAAGACCTGATTTTTGAAACCTTAAAATGTGACATTGATTTTTTGAAACCATTGATTTTTCATTAAACCTGGTTTTTGCTGTTCATGTCTTGGGAGCCTGTCTTAATGCTGCACACTCTTCTGGGAGAACATAGGGCTGACTGGGTGGTGTTCATGTGCTTAAACTGCTTGGGGGTCAACTCAAAGTGGAAATCAGAGGACTGTTTCCAGACCTTGCAGAGGCCCCGGAGGTGTGAGGACACCAGCATCTCCCAGCAGGTATGGGAGATGGCAGATGAGCTGGAAGATGGACGTGGACCATGTAATGGACCTTGCAGTGGCAGGTTCTGCAACTCGGCCGGCTGTGCGGCCATGCATTGTCACCACGTTGTCACCGCGTGGTTTTGCCAGCCAGCAGTCACTGTGCCGCCTGTGCGGACCACGTAGGGAGGAGAACGGGCTGAACAATTTTTCTGCCACGACGTGTGGTTGCATTGAAATCAAACTGTTCCGCAGGAGCCCATCCAGCTTGATGACATCCTCAGTGGGGTTGTTAGAAAGAATGGCGCAGATTGTCCTCTTTCCTGTCAATAACGTGAGAGCTGGAGACGGGATTTTTTAATTTTGTTTTTATGGGGTGTTATCAGGGTGTGAAATGTTGTCCAAGGATCATTTTCATTAAGACTGATGTACTTAAGACACCCTGTAGACTTGTAGCAGCGCCTGCTCACGGGCCTGCTGCAGAGCTTGCTGTCCAACAAAGCTGCTGGAGGAGCAGGAGAGCTTCAGGTCTCAGTCAGCAAGTCCCAGCTCCGGTGAGGAGGGGCAGAGGAGGAGCTTTCCTTCTTAATTTTTTCTAGGCAGCTTTAGTTAAGTCTTGATTTTTATTTTTGCATTTTTATTTTTTAACTTGAAAGAAAGGAAACCACTAAACCCAGCAAGTAAACAGAAGTCAGGGAAGGGAGCTGAGAGTTTTGAAGGATGAGTGGGTGCAGTAACACACGATTACATGCAAGGAAAAGGTCAGTTTTGCGTTTACAAAAGGCAGCCCAGCCTCACAATCCTACGGGAGTGCTTGGAAGAAGTCAGCAAGTGTGTGGATGAGAAGCACCTAGTTGGTGTAGTCTGCTTGGGTTTCGGAAAGGTTTTCAATACGGTCCCTCATGGCGGGGGCTTTTAAGGAAACTTATTAGTCCTGAGTTAAGAAGGAAGTTCCTTGTGTGAATAAATACTTGTCTGAAAGGTGAAATGCAGGGGGGAAGTGGATGGCGAGTTCCCGTGTGGAAGAGAGGTCAGCAATGCTCTTTAGAGGGATAGGGGCTGGGATATGTGGGGTTCAATAAATCTCTAATTGGAAAAATTGTGAATCGTGAAGTGGTGATATTTGCAGGTGAAACAAAGTTTAATCAGGGCATGAAGGACAAGGCCTGACTTAATTGCAGAAAAGCTTTTATGAGGCTCAGTGAGCATTAAAATGGAAGAAGAAATTCAACTGTGAAGTGATGGAGTTTGGGGAAAATGGAGAGAACCTAATTTCCTCATTTCATCCTATTTTCCTATGTAAAGCAGCGGGCTCTGAGCTGACTGTTACTGCTCAGGAACGAGATCTTTGGATGGCGATAGGCAGTCCCGTGGAAAGGTCAGCTCGGTGCTAAGTGCCAATCAAAAGCAGCAAACCACGTTAGGGATCGTTATGAAAGGGAAGCAGGACGAAACAGAGAACATCGTTATGCCCTTATATAAATCCACAGTGCATTTACCTCTTGGAAATTGTTTGCAGTTTTGGTTCATCTCAGAGGCTCGGAATAGCCGGAGGGATGGCCGGGAGTCCTCAATCGCTTCTGTACGAGGAATGAGCAAGTCGGCGAAGGCTCCTGAGCCTGACCAAGAGATGACGAGGGGGCTGGGGGGTGTGACAGAGGTTAAAGAGCCCACCAGTGGCATTGAGAGAGTGGATGGGGATTTGCTTGCGTGATGTCTCTTTCAATACAAGGCCCACGAAACTAGCTGGTGACGGGCTCAAAACAAGCAAAAAGAGGTGTTTCTTTGCACAGTGCGTAGCTGAGCTGTGGAAGTTGTTGCAATAAGAGGTCACAGATGCTAAAAGTATGCATTGGCCAAAGGGGAAGTGGGACAACTTCATGATTTAGAAGTCCTTGAAGCCATTGTTAGAGGTAATTCAGGATCATAGGCTGCTGGAAGGAAAAACAGACATCGGGGAAATTTTGCTATGTGCTGCCTTGTTCTTATAATCCTCCTAAGGCAAAGTTTGGCCACTGTGAGATAAGGCATGTTGGACCACATGGACGTTTATCCTGACCCATTCTCATGCTGCACTCCGTAGTGATGCCCTGGAGATGTGGGCTCGACCTGAGGGTGCTGTGGAAGCAGAGCCCAGGAGAAGTGGCGGTATTCAAATATAACAATTTGATGTCTGGAAATATTTCTATAATTTTCTTTTCCCCACAAGTTTTGTCTTTGTGTTCCCATTAGCCACACCAGTGAATTTTGAACTGCTGGATTTTTCGCAGCGCATCATTCCCACCTTCCCGGGTACCTGTGACACCACTCGGTCAAAGTCTGGGAACTGAGCTGTGGACACAAGCACGTGAATTTCCTCGACTGAAAAGTCCCCCGTTACGGAATTGGGAGCATCCTCTCCCAGCTGGGCACAGAAGGGGACATGAGTCTGAGGTCACCGCTGCACCCGAGACGCCTCGATTACTTCCTTACTTGCATTAAGCTCCCTGTGTGGTTGCTGGCAGCTCTTCACGGCCGTTCAGACTGTAGGATGGAGCTGCCCACCGTGGTAGTAAAAAGCTCTTAACTTCAGAGCCTAAAAAAGTACCAGGACAACTCCAGGGCAGAGCACGTACTGAATAGTGGGGTTAGGAAAGCAGCCAGCCTGGGCAAGCAGCCTCACCTGGGCTGTGGGTGGCAAAGATGATAATGAGAATATAGAATCGTAGAATGGTTTGGGTCGGAAGGGACCTTAAAGATCATCTAGTTCCAACCCCCATATTTTGTGGACATGGCATGCTCTTCAGTCGGATTTAGCAGAGCTGCTTTAATTTTGGATTTCAGTTGCTTGTTTGTCCTCCCTCTGCGCTCAGTGGTTTTCTTTTTTTTTCTTTTGTATCACGCTTCGCCTGATGATGCATTTTTGTTCACAGGAGGGCTTTTAACTGCCATGAAGGACTTCAGCCAATGCTGCACATTTGTCCTCACCTCAGGATTTGAGACACTTCTAATGGACTGATAACCATGGGGCAGTGATGGCACAGCAGGGTGTGTGTGTGGATTTTTCTTGAAGTAAATGAAGCATAAACATTATTTCTGTAGTTCTTTTCGTAGACCTCCAAGTCATGTGCGTTAAAGTCCTTATTTATTTTTTTTCCCCTTTCCTCTCTTTCAGATTTTAACAGTGGGAAGATGCTGATGGACAAAAACGAATCTTGGCTCTCTAATTTCTCCTCTGCTGCCTCCTCCTTCGTGAAAGGAGGTGGCAACTGGGCAGGGATCGGCCTCCAGGAGGTGGTCATTGGGCTGATACTAACCCTCATTGACTTGATCACGCTCCTGGGAAATACAGTAGTCTTCATCTGCCCGGTGGTGGAAAAAAGGCTGCGCACCGTCACCTATATGTTTATCATGTCCTTAGCCATGGCAGATTTCCTTGTAGCTTGTCTGGTCATGCCCTTTAGGTAAGAAGTGCTTGTAAGGTAAGGTCAGACGGCGATGTGTGCGTGCAACGTCATCTCTCCTAGCTTCGCGGCCGCTGCCTGAGCAGGCTAGAAGTTCACGTGCTGTGCTTAGGGCTGGGCTCTTCAAAGAGCTTAACGGTGGGTCAGTGACTGTATGTGCTTCTGTGCCTCGGTTTCCCTACCCTTTATAATGGGTCCCTTGTTTCTGAATGGAGGAAACTTCCCAAGGGTATTTTTCCTGTTGGCTCCAGAGGGACCCTGGCTGCTGGTCTGAACCAGGTATCCAGCTTTTCAGGTGGCTCCAGTGTGATGAGTCCCCTCTTCCAGGACTAGCTCTGTGTTGCACGTGGGGCCAGCATGGTTGCTAGATGATTTTTTCATGCTCTGAGTGTTTGGGGAATGTGAGATGAGGACTGTCACTGGTGTGTCAGCATTAAGTGCAATGACTGCGCTGATCATGCATTTCAAAGGTAGAGCAAATCACGGAGTATATTTTTCCCTCATTTTTCTTAATCAAGAATGACTATTGAAATCAGTGGAGTTAAATTCTGTGCTTTCAATTTTACACTTCTTTAACCTTATCTTTTATTTTCTGGTAGTGGGAGGGAGAAGTAAAAAAGGTCCTTACTAGTGTAAGAAAACAGATGATTTCATATTACTGAACCTGAAAGGCTATTGCAGAGATATTATTCTTCATATTCTTGGTGAAACACAGAATTTTGATTGTTCCTTCTGGTTCAGACAACGTACCTGTGGAGTTTGTGGGGAAGGCTGGCGACCTTGCAAAATAAATCTTTTGCCTGCATAAACAGACTAGAAGAATTGCAGTCTGCAGTGGGATAACAAACGGGATTCGCTGCACTTGGGGGAATTGTTTTGCCCCTATTGCCTGACTGCATCGCACATCGGTAACTGGCAGTGTTGACACGGGGACAAAGGCCATCTCCCCTCTCTCTGCGTAAATGTAAGGATTTTATTTTAGTGTAAGTAGGGTAATTTAGGCTCCCCCTATATTTGATGGAGGAAGAGGCACTTCAGAGGGCAGTTCTCCCTGCTTGAGGTTTATATTTACAGGAGCCTCACTACCTGGCTAAAACATAGTAAACCAAATCCAGAAACCAGTTTACCTGTGGGCTCTGGCTGTCCTGGGCTGCAGAACGGCCGTAGGTTTGTGTAAAGCGGGGGGCTGCACCCTATTTAGTGCTCTTGGAGCAATGTGAAGAAGCTGAACTCTTCTCACGTTCTGTGCTTCTCACAGGGCTGCCTACGCTTTTGAATTTGGCACCCCAAGATATCTTCCCAACAAGCAATTACAAACCGAGTTATAAGTTTATAGCGTCAGGTGGGGGAAAAAAAAAAAAAAAGCAGTGAATGATGCCCTTTAAAAAATATTACTGCCAATTTCAATTCTAAGCTCGGTGAATTTTTAAGTTCAGGTTGTGAAATCATCCATCGGTATTCACCTGTCTCTCCCCTCTACCTGGTGCTACAAATATCTGCCCTGGGGGCTTGGGTTGCAGCTCCGCTGTACGATGGTCGAACCTCTCCTACCTCGGGGAATGAGGAATACGAAGGTGGGAGTGAGGGTGGTGACTTAACCAGGAGATTTGTATTGCTGATAGTGGGGGTTTTGCTCTATGTTGGAGAAAGATGGGATTGTGGAAGTGGCTCTTGGCCAGACTGGGATGGGAAGGGTCTCCAGCTTGGCTGATCTTGTTCCCTGAGGATCGCCAGCAGCTCCGAGCGGGTGTGTGGGTGAGGACCTGGCTGATGTTGCAGCAGTCTGGCTATCCGCTTTCTTCCCCATTTCCAGCTGCCAGGCTAAACTGGGCTGGAGCTGGGCTGCAACTGGGAATGGTGGAGTCTGCAGGGCCTGAACTGGGCTTACCTGCACAACAGCGTGGTTCCCCCTGCCCTGCCCGGAGGGGATGCAGGAACGATCCCTGCGCTCCTGTCGACAGTAGCACATGCTATTTTTTTTTCCCAAGAGAAGCTCAGACAAGGTCACTGCAATAAAATGCAGCAGACCATTTCAGCCTCCTAGAAAGAGAAAAACAGTGTGTCAGACACCCAAGATTAGCTAAAGCAACAATCTTTCTGCTACCTGGCATTTCCCTGGGCTATTTTTCTTCTCCTTTCCATGTTCTTGTTAAGCCCAGAAATGAGGGGTTTTCATCCCAGTCCGGCCCAGGTGGGCTCCTCTCTGGGACTGCACAGCATCCCCTGCTCTTCCACCCACTCCAACCATCCCTCCAGGAGATCACCTTCTCCATTACCCCCATCTTACCCAGGAATGGCAGCACCCCCTTTGCTCAAAGAAGACAAAAGCTGAACAACTGCTTTGGAGTGAGTTGCAGCTGATGATTGCTATCACTGCTTCCTCTCCAAATTTGCCTGTTGTCCACCTGATGACTCCTCTGGTGTCTCCACGTTGAGCTCATGCTTGGGTATATCTGTCCTCGATTTCTTCTTTTTTTTCTAAATGGATTTTGGGCATTTCCAGTTACTCAGCATCCTTGTTACTTCTGCCTCCCACCTACTGACGTGGTATTTGCAATCTGGGTGATGGGAGTGAGCGGTAGCAAAGAGCAAAGGCAGGTAGGTGTCTCGGCAGCTGTAATTTCCCCCTGTAAGACTGACGGCATCCTTCATCACTGGAGTAGGACCTTTTCCTTGGCAAGGAGAAGGAGGGAATTTGGCATTAGGTTTTGCTCAGTTAGGAACGCCAAGGGGAAAGAAATTGGATGATTCCTACTTGTAGGCTCCCAGGAAAGTATGGAAGGAATGAGAAGAAGCAGCTGAAAACATGTTTCATGGGGAAATCTGTCTGTGGCTTCTCATGCCCAGCAAGAAAGGAGAAGGGCACAGCAGGGATCAGGAGGGGACCACAGCTGTGAATAATATAAGGGGAGGGGAAAGATCATAGAATCATAGAATGGTTTGGGTTAGAAGGGAACTTTAAAGGTCATCTAGTCCAACCCCCCTGCCATGGGCTGGGACATCTTCAGCTAGATCAGGGTGCTCAGAGCCCCGTCCAACCTGACCTTGAATATTTCCAGGGATGGGGCATCTACCACCTCTCTGGGCAACCTGTGCCAGTGTTTCACCGCCCTCATCATAACAAATTTTGTCCTTATATCTAGTCTAAATCTACCCTCTTTTAGTTTAAAACCATTCCGCCTTGTCCTATCAAAGGACGGTAGAGGGCATTACAAGGGGGGAAGGATTGCATGAAAACCAATGCCTTCGGTATGCAGCCAGAGAGAAAACAGCCCACCTAGGAGAGTGATGTCTTACTTAACAAAACCAAAAAAATTACAAAAGCAAGCAAAGAGCAGAGCACGATTGATGCTTTGTGCCCCTCCTGAATGCTCTGGCCTTTCCAGGTCTTGGTGGGCCATATGGTGAGGAACAGATTCTGCCATCTCCATTGGGCGTTGTTCACCCAGCTGCCCAGAGGAAAAGGACCTGGGGGTGCTGGTTGACAGCCGGCTGAACATGAGCCGGCAGTGTGCCCAGGTGGCCAAGAAGGCCAACGGCATCCTGGCCTGTATCAGAACTAGTGTGGCCAGCAGGAGGAGGGAGGTGATCGTGCCCCTGTACTCGGCCCTGGTGAGGCCACACCTCGAATCCTGTGTTCAGTTTTGGGCCCCTCATGACAAGAAGGACATTGAGGTGCTGGAGCGTGTCCAGAGAAGGGCAACGAAGCTGGTGAAGGGTCTGGAGCACAAGTCTGATGAGGAGCGGCTGAGGGAACTGGGGCTGTTTAGGCTGGAGAAGAGGAGGCTGAGGGGAGACCTCATCGCGCTCTACAACTACCTGAAAGGAGGTTGTAGCGAGGTGGGGGTTGGTCTCTTCTCCCAAGTAACAAGCGATAGGATGAGAGGAAATGGCCTCAAGTTGCACCAAGGGAGGTTTAGACTGGGCATTAGGAAAAACTTCTTTACTGAAAGAGTGGTCAGGCCTTGGAAGAGGCTGCCCAGGGAAGTGGTGGAGTCCCCATCCCTGGAAGTATTTAAAAGACGTGTAGATGAGGCGCTTAGGGACATGGTTTAGTGGGCATGGTAGTGTTGGGTTGACGGTTGGATTCGATGATCTTAAAGGTCTTTTCCAACCTTTATGATTCTATGATGGAATGGCTCTTGGTCCACATCTTTCCCACCGTCTCGGCTTCGTATCTATATTGCTCTTTTGAATTGCTGTTTGCTCCTCAGTCGGCATGTTAGCACAAGGGAAGGAAAAGAAATGATCTTGGGAGCCAGTTTGTTTCAGGAATAAGAGGTTTTGTGATAGAAAGGAAAACCAAGGTTGTCGCCTGGTGCCTTAATTTCATAAGAGAGAGACTTCTGCTTTGTTCCTGGTTTGGCTTGTTTGCAGGAGCGGCTGTGCTTAGCTTGTCGTCTGGGTACTCCAGCCAGCCCAGTCATTTCCAGGCTGACTATTTCCAGCTACTCTTTTCTTTTGCAAGCATAAGTGAAACATGGAGGTGACTTCACTTCTGCTCATACTGTGCATTTCTTTGGGCTTTTATTATTCCTTTTTAATCACCATAATTTCCAGCCTGCAGAAACTTTATGCATCAGGGAAGAGGGAACAAGTATCTCCTACCCTGTGCTGTGAGAACACCTCCTAGGTCAGGAGCATCCCACCAGATGCTGAAGGGAGCTAGGTACCTGCTCAGCTGGGATCTGTGTGCAGGGATGTTCATGACAGCAGCACGGTCCACTTCTGGATGGCCGCAGCGCTCGCACCACAGGCTTTGAGGGCTTCTCAGGAGTGGCACCAAGGCACCCAAGTCCGTTACTGGACCCGTGCTTCAATTTCTATATGTCTCGTTTCCCCATCTAAAAAAGAGCCATGAAACCTTTCCACGTGTGCGCAGTGGGACCCTCCACGCTGCCCATGTGGAGACCACCACGGCGTAGGGCCAGGTTCAGCTCTAGATTAACGTTTGCTTGAATTTTTCCATAGCATCCTGCGTAACAAAAAGCTGCCGAGGGCTGGGGCCCTTCAGCTGGCACTGTACCCGCTTACGTTAGTTGTGCTCTAAAAGAACCTTCATAAAGTCATTTTAATGAGTTGCTGCTAATTAGATGCAGAGCGGGGGTTGGTTTCTAACTCCTCTGACATCAAGTTGACTCTTTCTGCCCTTGCTGGACGGCAGAGCCCACCTGAGCGCGCTGCGGCAGCCCCTCTTTCACTGTATTTGACCAGCAAGCTGTGAAGTTACAGGATAATTAAAGCTTTGCAGGACTAGGTAGTTACTCAGCCTGTCACATCAACTTCGCACACAGTGGTTTTTTCGGCACCACCCCCGGAGTTGCAGAAAGCTGGTGAAAGAAAGGGGAAGCGAATGGCGTCTAATTGAATGCTATAGAAACATGCATCAGCCTTCCTACAGCTGCCATATGTTCCTTCCTTCGCTCCTCACTTCTTACAGGCCCCTCTTGACTTTGTTAGAAATAATTTTGGCATAACGCCTGCTTTTTGCTGGTGTATTTACCTCGCTGAGGCATTTGTGAGCTACATAACGTACAAGCTGCATAGGCTTCCTCCTAGGATTTACTTCTTTGTTTTTTTAACCAAGAGTTGAAATCCTCTAGTTTTGAAGCATGAGACCAGATGAGAAGTGAGTTTCTTGGAGGAGGGAGCATCTTCCACGCCTCAGGAATTGGGGAGAAATCATAAAAGTCTGTGCTGCATAGGGCACTGGAAAAAGCTGTGATAAACAAAGCTGTGCAGATGTAAATTTGGGGAGCTCTGGAGGGCAAAGCACCTCTCTCGAGGCACCTGCTTATAACGGAGTGCAGGCAAGAAGCATAGGTTTGATCTTCTTCAGCCATGCCCACCTGTGGATTATGGCCTTGGGTTGTGCTTTGAGGATGAAGCCCTGCCGTCTAACTGAGCTGCACACCCATCTTTAGTACCGCCGCGTTAAAATGTGATGTTACCTCAGTGGAGTCTTGAAGAAATAGATGAAATCAGTTCTTCTGGCTTTGATTTCTACCTGTTTTCTCTGGCAGTATCATTTACGAGGTGACGGGGATGTGGCTGTTCGGGAAGCTGTTCTGCAAAGTCTGGATCTCCTTTGACGTCATGTTCTGCACTGCGTCCATCGTCACCTTGTGCTTCATTAGCCTGGACAGATACTGCTCCGTGGTGACCCCATACCACTATTCAAGAAGGATGTCCCGTGGCAGGTGAGTGGAGTTGCTCCTCTCTTTGGGTCCCTCCAGATTTGTACTTGACCGTGGCCTATATGGACTCGGGACCAAATGAGCTATTGGCAGTTGCTGCCCAAAAGCAGAGCGATGTGGCAAAAGGATCTTTGCGCCGTTTAAAACTCTCTGAAAAATTTTTAATGTGGTGCAGGAGAAAAGGAGAGCTGAGCTGGTTTGATGGTGCTCCTGGGAAAGCACTTTTTGAGTTAAGGACGAGTTGCAAAATGGGGTAGAAACCAGTGGTGTGGACTTGTACCAACAACTTCTGCCCTTTGCAGGCATTTCATGGGCATTTCCCCAAGGACTAGAGGAAATGACACCCAGAAGAATTCATGTAGCGGTAGTCTTCCCCCTCTTAAACTCACAATGTTTTCTGAAGTGATATTCAGGGGGGAAATGCAGAGGAACCAGGATGAGTGTCTAAGCTCCTGTCAAGGTTTCGTGTGAAACATTGAAATGAGGGCTGCAGGGTGGGGAAAGTTGTCTGAGGGTGGGCAGAGAGGACACTGCAGCTGCAGGTGCTTTACAAGGTGGGTTCAGGCTCTTTTGGGGATGTTTTTGCCGCTGCAGATCTTGCTGCGTACGATTTGTGGAGCGCGGGCAGCGGCCAAAACGAGGAGGGGGCTGCGCCGCACGCCGTGTCGCAGCGCAAGCGCTGCAGCGGTGCTGAGCGTCTGGTGTCCATCAGCTCCACCCCGATTGCTCCTCAAAGGATAAGATAATGGCCAGATATTAAAGCTGAAACCAAACAGAAAAATCTACATGCTGTTGTTTTAAACATTAACAAAAATCCTCTGTAAAACCTTTCCTCCTCTTTTTTCAGCCAGGTCTGAGCACCCTTCACACTGACCCCAATTCTGTAAACTACAGACCCAATTACCCCGTCGTTAGAGACATTCACGTATGGACTTGTTGTACCCTGGCTTTTTCCCCTTCTGCGAGCCCCAGGGGACTACTGAGCGGTGATATCCCACACGGGTTACTATGGGGATTGAATCGTACTGGATGTTCTCAACTCAGAATAACTCAGATCCTCTCTCCCCTCCCCATCTTCTTCCTTTCGCAGATGCATCGTGATGACCTGCACGGTCTGGGTATACTCCTCCCTCATTTCCTTCCTTCCCGTCATGCAAGGCTGGAACGAGATCCCCGGGGTGGACTTTGATGCAGGCAGAGAATGCATCTTTGTCACCAACTGGATTTTTGCCATCGTGGCTTCTGCTCTGGCTTTTTTCGTTCCCTTCATGGTGATGTGCAGCATGTATTTCTTCATCTACCGAGCTTCACGGCTCAAGGCCACTCGTATCATGTCTCAGACCCTGGAGATTCACTACCACCCCAACAGCAAGCGGCAGAACCATCTGCAGCTGGAGAACAAGGCCACGCGGACCATTAGCATTATCATTTCAGTCTTTGTGCTGTGCTGGCTGCCGTACTTTGTCCTGAATGTCTGGCTCGCTGCCAGAGGCACCGACTCCACCAGCACGGTCTTGGTTGACACCTTCAAGTTCATCACTTGGTTAGGGTATTGCAACTCCACCATCAACCCAATGCTCTACGCTTTCCTGAACCGGGACTTCCAACGGGCCCTGAAGAAGCTGCTCATTTGCAGACACAGGTCTCAGGTGGACATTGGAGAAGACATGGTTTCCATAGCCACGTTTTCCAAGACGGCTCCAGACCTAGAATATAGCATTACGGTGCCAGTGCCCAATGGTGCCCTGAAAGGCAAACCCAAGTAACAGGATTCAGAATCAGTTGCTGGAGGTGGTGGTACAGAAGGTGCCGGAGCACATCCTAATGGAAAAATAAAGGGTAGGAGGGGCTGGATTATTACAGCTGGGGGCATACAAAAAAGATATATTTCTTCATCTTCCACAGTTTTACAAATGAGGAACTTTGATATTTTAGGGGCAATTTGTTATAACTAATGGAGCTAATTCCTTCCTGGGTAATTATTTTTTTAATGAGCATTTCCAAAGATAAATTCAATCTTCACGCTGGGGGGAAAAAAAAACCACCAGTATCATAACGTGAACTTGTCTTTGTGTACATCCTGGTGATCTACAATGTAAGGTGGGACGGTATTTCTTTCTTATCAAGCCACCGTAGCTCTCATCTTGCAGCTTCCATTACAAATTTGACAGTTTTAATAACTCCACCTGTGTCAGTCTGTGTATGGGAGTTAGGAGAGACGTGGTCAAAGAGCAGAGGTCACTTCTTTACAAAGGCACCAGTCTGGGATGTTGCTCAAGCTTCTACTCACTTGCTTCCGAAATATCGAGAGGTTCAGAGATTTCAGTGGCTTTCTGTGAATTATCTGTGAGAGCCCTTATTAATTCTGCAAGAGCAGACTCCAGGAGATGAGCAAGACTTGCTTGTAAGACCGAGAGCACCGAGTGCCCAGGGGGTTTGAAGAGGACTACAGGTGACCAAGACCAGCCAAAGAGGGGATGTGAAGAGGAATTATTATTTATTTGTGGGTTTTGCACTGTGATGTCTATGCCTTGATGCTATGAGCGTAGCTATAGAGTATCGCTGGACCACACAGCCATAAAAAAAAATGATGATAAATGGGAATGGTTATTTTTACCACTCCCAAGTGCTTGTCTGGACTTCAAACAGCATCGAACAGCACTGGCTTCCCACAGGAGAGCCATGGAGTACCTCACTGAAGGATTACCCTGACAAGGCAGGACTGCTCCCGAACCTCTCCGCAGCATCGTAACAGTGAGTAAGAGCAGGAGCTGAGCCCCCAGGACCACTGCTTTGCTGTAGCAGGGTCTCATGAGGGCTGGTGAGTGCTCAGACAACAGCCATCGCTTCCCCCGGCACGGTTCTGGTGGGCTCTCACGCTGGTTTACATGGGAGAGTCACTGCACTCAGAGCCTGCTCTTAGACCCATCTTCCGTGGACATGAAACATTTCAAGGATGGTTCATGAAATAGCTTTTTCTGAGTGCTCAATCACCTGCTTGGGACAGGCAAGGCTTCTGCAGCCTGGGAAGCAGGGCAAACACAGCAGAAAGAGCTAACATTTAATGCTAAAACTGCTGGACTGAGGCACGCAGAGGGGTGAAAAATGTCATTTTGTTAATAAATAAAAAAAAAAAAGGGGTTAGTGAAAGTCCTGAGTCCTTCTGCTCTTCCAGCTCAAAGGTAGCAGAGGACTGTCCTCAGAGGTGTAGCAAAAAGCAAGTAGCTACTGCCTGGAGCAGCTCAGCTACTGAAGACACTGGTACAAGGGTCAGAAGTTCTCTCTCAAGGGCCTGGTAGAAGAAACAGCCCTGACCTGGGGTTGCAAAGCTGGGACTCCTGTCAAATGACTCTTCATGGAGTGGGTTCCAGCTCCTATGACTCCAATAGCAACACGGAAGCGGTAAGGAGAGTAACAACGGTAAGGAGAATAATGACACAATCCTGCCCTTATTCTGGGGGAAGCGTCTAGGTCCAGTGGGCACAAAGATGGATGGGGCAGGATTCTTGCTCCTGATACCCAGTTCATTTTGATAAACAGGACAAGGAATTGGGTTTTAGCCCCAAGAGCTACGGTGGGGAGGGAGCTGAGGGATAGGCAACATCCTCTGCAAGAAGAGGCCAGGACCGCAGTGTCGCACAGCGCAGCAGAGCCCGAGAGCAGGGGTCCCTTCTGCGGGGCTGTAAGCTGGCAGCTGTGCTAGCCTCTGCGTTCAGGCGTCCCTTTGCAAAAAAAGGTGGCAGAAAGGTACACACCGATTTCCATGGCCACAGGAAGACCTGAGACAGTCTGATAGTTGGTTTCTAGATGTTTGTAAACTGAAAGAAGGCAAATAAACTTATGAGCCATCAGATGTTCCTGCCACCAGGGCCATCATGTAAAGACTGGGATCTCACAGACAAGGTGGAAAGCTGCTGCTGTCATCTGTACAGAACTGAGAAAAACCTGCCTTCCTTGCTTTCCCTTCCAGGATGTGAGCATAGAGCAAATGCACATTAGACCAAAGGCCTTCAGTCTTTCTGTCATGGTTGACCATGTGGTCTGAGTTGACTGAAGAACATCATCTGGCAGAAGGACAGGGATGGAACAGGAAAGTGTAGTATAATTAAAACCTGACTTAAAGAAGGAAAAGAACATGGGTTCTACACCCCCTCTGGGTAGCCTGGCTCTGAAGAGCTGATGAAATAGTCCTGGAGCTGATGGGGGTGTCGAAGCCCAGGTGGACTTTTCATAGCAGAGAGAAGTGTCCTCTTCTCCCACTGGTGGGGCAGAGCAAGTGGAGCTGCGAGAGGCAGGGAAATGAGGGCTTGCAGGCAAGACCTGAGTTCAGAGGAAAACCTCTCTGATTAGGGGAGACTTTCTTAGTCAAACCCTGGAGCAAAAAGGAGCAAAGTCAGGGACAACACACACCAGCATCCAGGGCTAAGAGAAGCAAAGACTCACTGACACGGGCAGTTAAGAGCTGAGCTTTCGTGGCTGGGCACGCACCACACAGGGTAGGATTTGTACATGCCTTCGAGGATAAGTGTAACATCCCAGAGCAGACAGACACACCTAGTGTGAACATGTATTTCACTTCAGGTACTGAAGTGCTGCAGGGCCCTTGGAATAGGCAGCTACTTACATCCAGCACAGATATACAGCAAGTTAAAAATACCCTATTCTTCATTTCTTGTGCTCCATCGGTAATCACTGAACGGGCAGGGAAGCTAGAGAGGCTTCAAACGTGGCCATTTAACTGTGCAGTTACAGCTGATAACAGGGAAATCCAAGGAAGAGGACACACTGACCTGTCTTCTGTTTTAACCCAGCTAAACTTGATAAAGTTCTGTTTTTGACTAAATATTCACTGCAGCATTCTGGCTTCAACTGGACAAACCAGTATCTAGGAGAGTTATCCAAGAGCACAAGAAGACAATCTTTGTAATCCCCTTTTGCCTTACCATAAGGCTGCAGAGTGTCAGCTGGTTTAATTGCTAGTTATAGTGTCACACCCAGTACAATCATCCCCAGAAGGATTTGAATCCAGCATCTTTTCAGAGCTGACAACTTCAAAAATTTAAGCCTGTAGAACAGGAAAATGCATTTATGCAAAAACAGTTCTAATAGTGTAAGAATTATCCCTTCTTCTTCCCTCTCTGTTAACAGTTGAGAGATTGCCTCCATAATCCACTCGGTTTAGGAGAGTTCCCTTCTTTCTTCAGATAGTATCTCACTTCCAAGTAGCATATTCATGTTTGCATCATCACATGCACTGTGCAAGTATGAGAGAGGAAAGCAAAGCAAGTTACAGAAACGCAGTACCTGTCCCCCTGTTCCAACTGCACACGGCTGCCATCTGGAGCATGCACTGACACAGGTTTTGAACAGAAACAACTGCTATTTTTTTTATAAATAAAAAAAGTTTATTAAATCATTTAGACTTGAAAGAAGTCACAATAATTAATGCACTCAACAATTACAGCAAGTGCATTCTGTACACCACCAACCCAAATGGATTGATTCTGTATTTTATAAATAAAAAATAACATATTTACAATGAGAAATAAAAGCATGGCATTAGGCAGTTAAATTAGCAGATTACACAAATGCCTACCAGTTGATTTTTTTAAAAAGTACAAATCTACAAGATTACATACGACACGTATAACTTCAGTAGGTTTAAATTTTCAGAATCACAACATTTTCGTACATAATTTTTACTATGGCTCTTCCAACCACTGCCTATAAAACCCCCTTTTTTAATGGCAAAAAGCTCCTTTTCCTTCTCTACAGGTTTATCTGTATAAAATGCATTCCCTAAGATCTACTATAGTGCAGAAGTATGAAATGATTTCCTCTAATGACTGGCTATGGAGAGTGACAGTATGTACAGCTGTGGTACTTTTTTGCTTTAAAAATAGTGCAGATTCCCAGTTTACCCACCAGGGACAAAAACGGAGTCATAGTTCATTTCAAAATCATCTTCGTTTCACCAAAGAGCAAGTGATCCGGATAGATACTCACTAGGCTTAGAGACTGTAATTTGCTCTATAAAAATACAGTATTTTAATTCTATTTACATGTTACAGATCTCTCACTTACCCAGCAAGCTGACATTTACAAGCTTCAAAAAAACCCAACAAACCAAAAAAAACGATAATGGAGCACAACATTGGTAAGCACAGTAGCTGGACCCATCCGCCTAAGAGAGTTAAGGTAAGAAAAATGGAATGTGAAAAGTGTGGTTACTGGCTTTCGTTGGCTGTCAAAGTAAACGAAAATCTGTCCAATACATCTTATACATTAAACATAGCAAAAAAAGTTTAAGTAAACTATTTCCAAGATAGACATTCTGCATCATAGGATCCTTCTGCTGAACAATCCCTGTAAAACCTGCCGAGTGGAAGAAAGGATCCTGAGAATAATTATTTGCTTGGTTGTCTTGAATGCTTATTTCCTGATAAACTCATTGTCCGTGACCTCTGCCTAAGCACTGGTTTTGGTGGGAGTTCCAAGTCTTCAAATACAGGATTTTCTATGATTGCTGCAGCCTCTGGTCTTTCAGTGGGACTTGGAGAGAGCATGTCCTTCACCATGGTGTACTAAAAGAAAACATGACATGTGCTACATGAACCAAGTCATAAATTCTTTCTTATTTAATGTTCTGACTTCAATTGTGGCTGTATAAACAAGTGGAAAATGTCCCCAGTTGCTTTCTGATTAATTTGGGTATTAGTGCTTTGGCACAGTAGTTAAAAGTGCATTAAACATTTGAAAATGTATCACTGTGCATCCATTAAACTGTCTTTACTGTCAAGGGCTACAATCAATTTGGCAAATCAAATCCGACCCAAGATTCAATAGAGTTATAAAACCTTTACGTTATTTGCAATCAAAAGAATTTAAAAACATATGAAACATAATTTGTGAGTAATTTTTAGCTTCATGTTTAAGCCACCATGTTTTAAGCCACACAGTAATTTTTCACAGTGAATTAGAGGTTTTCCTTTAAATATACAGGTAGTTTGAATATTTGTCTCAAATTTAATCAGAATTACGGTGTCCTGTTCCAGCTGAGCACAGCACATCACACTCCCCCAGGGAGCCTGCAGCTGTAAAGCAAGAAAGCCTAGTCTCATTTAGCTGCTGGTCTGAAGCTACCATGAAAACCTGAAAGCATCTCAGCTTTTTATTGGAAAGGTTTTGTACATCACCTCCTCTTTATCTGCAACCGTATCACTTTAAAGATCTGCCTAGTAAGAACACAGCACAATTTGCTCATACGGTTTCCTACTTGAGAGATCCAGTTCTTGGAGCAAGATCCCATACAGCCATGGTGCTAGCTACAGTCTCCCCTTTACCTGTCTAGAACTCTGCACTTTCTCTTTGTGAATATGGATTTGTTGCAAGAAATCCTGTCAGGATATATGTGAAATGAGTGACTGCAAGTGACAAAGGGAAGCCAGGTAATATTGTATAGTTATTGGTGGTAAACTGTGTGACAGAAGTATCATTATCCACATTATTGTAATGTTATATCTTTGAAATGTAGAAAAGTACAGGGATAGAGAAATGCATCTTAATAACACGAAAGCTTTTTTTTTAAAAGTACAGGGATAGAGAAATGCATCTTAGTAACACGAAAGCTTTTTTTTCCACTCCATTTTTACCTGCAAGGCAATTGGAAAGCAAAGGAAAAAAGCTACAATTATTAAAAAAAAAGCTACAATTAGTAGCATCAGATATACTTACCTCTTGTGCATATTTCTGAGTGAACAATGGTGGAAACTTCAAATTTCTAACATCACTTAAGGTCTGCAAAAATATTAAGAAAAACATGTAACTTTTCCAAAATACCATTCTTCAGTAGTATTACTCTATTATTCTTCAAAAAATATGCAAACTATGCAAACAAATCAGCCTGATAGAAGAAACCTTGGTTTAAAGTCTTGCTTTAGTGGTTAAAAATCATAACATACTTAAATGGGCAAGTTGCTGCTTCCCTAGGTATACAGCCTGCAATAGGAATCATGTCACAAGAATTCTGATCTCTGCAGTTTTAAATCAGCCAGATACACAAACTTGTACTTTCTCACTTTGGCTCAACAAAGTCAACAAATCTGTGCACCACACATAATCCCCAAGATCACCTACACCAGTATTAAGACACATGACATGACTGGCTCTGTCTTAACAATGTAAGCACTAGTCTTTATTTAACGTTTATGGACTAATGAGCAGATTTATCAGCAGTTTCGAAAGCAATTCATGTTGTGTATTTCTGTGTCCTTACAAGGTAGCTGGTCTCCTTCAGCGTTTCTTGCATAACAAGCACGTTGGCTCCATCTAGTGACAGTAATTTTTAAATGTTCAGGCACCCAATTATTTGCAGCAGGCTTCCTTAGCAATTTAAGTTCTGTAATTTCCAGCAACCCATGACCTACTTTATCATGTTTTTAGCGCAGAAGGACAATATTTAGCACTTAATTTCTTTTAGGAAGGATCTCCTTTTGCAAAAGTTTGAGCACAAAATATAAGAATTCTAAAGTTAAAACAAAATTCAATTCATTATTACACTCCACTGAAAGTATAAACTGATGGGCTGTAGTCAAACTCCTGTTCAAGAGAACTGAGTTTTGTGACAACAAAATGCTACAAATAATTGTTCTCTTTCTCTACCAATTCAGTCTGCATTTAGCGATCTGTTTTCAAACACCTAATTTGGAAATAAACTGCACTGCCACACACTAATTGCTAACAGCTTGAGGCAGAGGCAGGTCTCATGCTTCTCCTCTGGGGATTTTTCCAGCTCTTTGTCACAGATTCCTAGAATTTGCTGGGCTACCTGGTCAGGCAGAGCATGTTTTGCTTCAGCAAGTAGCGCTAATGCTTGGCTGATGCCAATAAAAACTTCAGTGTAACAACTCGGAAACAACTACTAAAGTAACTATACTCCAGAACTTGACATAAAGGGGTGGGGGTTGCTTTTTGATTTTATCAAAAAAAGTGGAATGACAGTGAAAATCATAGGAAGTTAGGGCACTCTTTTTACCCTCTTGTGAAGAAAAACATCAAGTTAGATGCAATTTAGGATTCACTCTGATTACTTGCTTTGCTTCTATACTCAAGACAGAAACTGGAGGACAAAGCTTATAGTCATTGCTGCAGGAGATCTTGAGAATCCAGGATAGCTCTTTATCGGGTATGTGTCCCAGTAAAACTGATTTTATTTAGGGAAATTGAAACTGGTTCCAGTGCAAGGGGTTCAAGTTAAGCTCTGTCATTCCTCCTCTAGACTACGCTCTTTTGTATGATGAAAAGCCAGAGCATTTTAAGCAAGAGAATGTAACACCAGCACAGCTGAAGCATTTGGTCAGGCTGCATTCATGTGTGGTTCAAGCTGCTTCTTACATCTCTGCTAAAACCAATCCATCTCTGCTAAAACCAATCCATCTTCATATGAGAATTTAAACACCCCAAGCACATATAAATGATAAATACAGGTTACAATGACTCTTTCTTTCCTGCATAGGTCACTCGTCACCATATACAAGAGGAAAAACCTTGCTGGCTTTAGCCCCTGTTCTCTATGAACTTGTTCCTGAGCAAGGTGGATCTCGCATGCATTTTAACAGCAAGGAAGAGTTACTATATACCATCAAACCTCCCAAATTCACAGCTGATGCAATGAAAGTCATCAATTACTGTGAAGATTGTGCTTGAAGCTGAGTGAGACCTACAGCTAAGACTTACTATAGGAAAAGGAACAGCAATTTTTCACCAAGTGCTTTGGGTGAAAAAGCACTGCAGATGCAAATGAAGGAAGAAATGATAAAAATGCATAGCATGGTTCAAATTCTTGAATGAAAAACAAGCTGGTAAGCTTAAAGTCACAAGCTATATCTGTTGCTTGAGTTCTTGGATATCCTAGTTCAATAGTTTCTTTTACTTGGCTTGACAACAGAGGAGCTTTGTAAAGAAATTAAGGCCTCAATTCAACTGCACACATTAGGAAGACTGCAATTTATTTTCAATGATTCAGGGGGTGTGTACAAGGCTGATAAAGAAGTTGTGCTCCTAATTGCAAGGCTTTTTCAAAACTGAGAAGAACCTCTTGCAAGTGTTTCACCAAGCAAACAGCTATTTTAAATAAATGATCAAGCTGAGGATAATCCAATACCATACATACCCTGACCCTCTCCATCTGTGTGCTGAAAGGGTAAAGCAGCTCAAAGAGAATCAGTCCCAAAGAAAAGATATCCACTTTGTGCGAATAGGTGTTCCCACAGATCTGAAAATTCAAAATTAAGGGTTAGATCAATCAAGATACTCGCTATATGTAATTATGTACAATGTAAACAACCCCCTTTCAAGTCAACATATGGAAGTGATTAGCCCTGTGCAGAGCTGAAAACTACAAGGCAGGCACATTGGCAAATTTCATCAAATGAGCATGGGTGAGCAAGGTCCTGATCATCAGCTGCTCTTTGCAGACCCAACTGTAATGTAAAATGTTTCAACTTAACTTAAACTTCATGCACAATAGTGTCTCCTTGCTCAATTAACTTGAATATTACACAGTTAACTTTCTACTACATTAAAAGCAAGATAAATGAATGCATCTAAGTACGAATAATTAGCCACTTCTTTGCTATAATAAATATATATATATTATAATATTAATTTTGGAATTCAAATTTAGAGTTTAGCTTAAAACTCTACTTTGATGAGAAAGAATTTAAGTAACTTGACTGCAACAATTTACTAGAAAGACTGCCTGATCTTTGAGCTCCCGGGCATTCAGGTGTCTTCTAGGCACTGCCAGATACAGCTTTAGAGCAGAGAGCACAAACCTGTTCTGGGCTCATGTAGAGTTTGGTCCCTACTTGTCCTGTGTGCCTGGCGTAAGCTGGCATTGGGGTAAGTACTGATTCCTCCTCCTCATCTTGGTCCATAGCAGTTACCAGTCCAAAATCCCCAACCTTTACTACGTCATCCATTGTGAAAAATATATTGGAAGGCTAAGAAAACAAACAGGTGAAAAGAAAAAAATATGTAAGTAATAAACAAGACTCTGCGTTTCGGTAGATATAACACTTTGTTCTAATTCAGATAAGCCATGCTGTCAAGGCTAAAAATGCTCATTAATCATCAGATTAGCAGAACCAGCTAAGAATCTTAGCTATTCAGGAAAAAGGAATTACTTCTGCATTAAATAGTCTCCCTTCCTGAAACTCAGACTGCTCATTTCTTGCCTTCCAGTAGACATTTACTAACACTACATAGGTCTGCTGAGTAACATGCACAAAAGTCAACAGCTATGGGCAACAGCACAGATAAGTTATCCAACTCTCCATCACATGGCAAATTCACACCAGATGCTGGAGTTCGGACTCTTAGTCTTTTTTATTGTAATCTGAATGAGTGCTAAACTCATTCGCCATATTATTAACCAGCACGTAGCACGTCATCTTAGTGTTAAATTATAGATACACTGGAAGCCTGAGAACAAGGTCTGCTTTTCAGTTGGCACTGTGCAGTTTAACTGTGGGAATAGCTGTTTACGTAACAGAATTAAAAAATTATTTTTGATAGAAGCTTAACAACTTTGCAGTTCACAGAAGCAGCAACAGTGCTGACCTGGCTTAACCCTCCTTTAGCTTGTTTGCCAGGTACCACTACCTGTGGCTTAACCTACTGATAAAGGAGACTGGAACTGAGATGCCCCCTTGCTAATGGTACATATCTCAGATGGTTTCTCAAGAGACTTGCATTGTGGCTGATAGTATAGCACATGGCAAATGAATTATTATTTCTTTGAAACATGACCGTTCTACCTCAGTTACAAATAAAGACAGACACACAGTTTTGGGGGAAGAACAGGCTGATCGTGCAAGGGGGAAGAAGCAGCAGGATTATGTACAGGGAAAGGGCCGAGGCATGGTAAAGAAGCAGGTGGTGCTGGACAAGCTCCTCTCAGAGCTCCTGGACCTTCAAGGCAGGGACAACATGGTCCATGCTTTGTTGACATAAACCCTGGAACAGGAGGTGGCAGACAGATACAGGGCAATATTCTTCCACAAGATTAAAGGACTACAAAGCTGACCTACTTCAAAGTCCATCTGACTTCCTCAGTTAAAGACAAACCCACTCTGTGCAAGAGAGAAACAACACAGAAAAAAGGCTTCTTGCTTTTTTTAAGCAACAGACAGCTCTGAGATAAGCACTACGAAATAGTTACATATAACTTGTTAGTTCCACAGTGCCCACATCCTGCCTCTAAAACTGCCTTCTGAGCCAGGTTTTATCTCCCGCTATATTTTCCTGTAATGAATGTCATGCCCTTTGGAGTCACAGCTCATCTAGTGCACAAAAGCTACTACCCTTTAAACCCATAGCGTCTCCAGGCTCTCTCTGAAGCATTTACACGGCACCCACCCTCTGACTGCACACCCACGTTGTCAAAAATCTTTGTATCAGAATTTTAATGCTCAAGGCACAAACGTCTCCATGGGGGATTTGTATCCCATTGCCTTGATCTCCATTGCCCTCCTCCTCCTCTAACCAACACTCAAGAAGTCAACAAGATCTGTCTTGCTTCACGGAGCAAAACTCTTCTTAACAGAAAGTTTTATTTCTTGTAATTCTCTGGCTGAAAACAGATTGTCTCTGAATGGGCTGGCATATAGTTTCTACAAATTAAGGAGAACGGACTCTCTGCTATCGCAAACTGCCAGCAAAAATAAGCCATCAAGACCACATTCAGAAAGAGGAAGTCTAAGGCAGATACACACAATTTTGATTTAAATCAGAAGAATATAACCACCCTCTAGTTTAGTTATCTTGCCACCTGCACAAAGAAATTTCTCTCCACATTCTTCAATCAGAGTAAAAATTCCCATTTTTTCACAGATACGAATAAGCTACTCACACATCTGGAAGACTACTGTTTAATTCAATTAATGCTGCAAAATGTATCTAAGACTGTTCTTGCAGTTCTATGAAACTCAATTTCTTTTGAGCTGTCAAGCATGACCGACAGTTTATCCTGGGAATAACAGTAAATTCACTTGACAGACTTCTGTTTCTGTACTTCATTTTCTTCAAAAGAATTTGAACTGTGACCTGTTCACTTGCTTACCTAAATTCCTGCCATCTTGTCATTACGGTACCTCTGATTAGTATGAGCCTAATTAATGCATCTCAATGTGCACTGTTAATTTAAATATTTAATAGACCTTCTTGAATCTTTTAATATGCACACATACAAATTTATTTTCACATAGGTCAGTGAATTTTTGTTGGTGCCAATGGGAGCAAGAACTGGCCTCTGCTATCAGCTAGCTCTGCCTCTAGCAAAGACAGAACAGCTTTGCAGATTATTTGCTTATTAGTGCTGGCACGAACTTAGGGTTGCATGACCAATCTCTTGGACAAATTACAAAATTAGGTGAGCTATGTTCCTAGAAGCTTCTGAAAACTATAGAAAAAAATTAAATATACTGGCTGTTGTTTTGACCAAATTAACACATAACAGACAAATAAACTTCCAGGGTCCAAGAATAACATCTATACACGCATGGGAAGTTTTCTGAAGCAGGAAATTGTTCGTTCAGGGAAAGCCTTTCCAGGTTGTTTATACCAAGTAAACAAAATAAAATCTCTTGTTCAAATTGCTGCCAATATTGAACTTTTAAGATGTTCCAACAAAACACTACCCAACTGCTGATTAAGACTAATACAGCTTTAAGTGAAGATCTACATAAGTTTTACTGAACAGTCATCTCAGTAAAGACTGCAGAGAGTTACAACTGACAGTATTGTTAAGAAAGTTACTAATTAACATGTCTAGCAACATATTAGTATAGGGATTTAATTATTTTTCTGGTCTGTTTCTCAAGCACTACAGATTTTTCAGGTAACTGATTCAAGGTAATTGCTTAATGCTGATGGGGAAAGAAAATACTTGGATGGGTTCGTCAGTTTTTCTAACTTTGACACAACCTTTCAGTGTTACTGAATCCCCTTTTACTGCCACATCTGAGATGGCATTTTTTTCTTTTATTTCTACCGATACCAAATGATTACCATCTGAGAAGCGACAACAATGGTTATAATCATTTCAGTATTTACTCCAGGTATTAATGCCTCCTCAAATAAGCAAAGAGAAACAGGAACTGCCTCTCCACTGTTTGGCAAAAGTAATCCATTTCTCAGAGCTTATACTATTAAGACTAACTTCAGCTGGGCTCTTTAATTAAATTCTGGTATTTGGTAACACATACTGACACTTCCAGCACTAAAAGTTCCAGCAAGATTAGGCACTAATGTAGTATCAGAAGCAAAATGAAAGAATAGGTACAAAAAGTTACTCCTGATTTCAGTTACATTAAATGCCAGAGGTAAAAACCACCTTTCCCAGTCTTAACTGGCAGGATGTTATCAGACATTAAAAACATTATGAATCCTTCATAAAGCTGCATTGTGATAGTCGGCATTGACTCAGAATTCAACTCCAGGACAGTTTACATTTCTATCCTAGAGCAGCAATACTTAATTTTTACTTTCTCTAACCAGGAGTAACACTGCTGCTCTTAGGCAGTATTGCTATAGAAAGAAGGAAAATACCAGAATTAGAATCATTGAATCATTTAGGTTGGAAAAGTCCTTTAAGATCATCGAGTCCAACTGTAAACCTAACACTGCCAATTATCTGCTTCACTTGAAACGGTAGAACAGCATCCAAAATAGCTTTCTTTGCCACACCGCTCAGCAACGAACAACCCTCTATAAAGAACCCAAATTAAAAATGCCTTAAAACAAATGCAACTGATCTGTGCCAGGTACAAGAAGTCTTGCTTTAAGAAAGACTTTAATTGCAATAATGAATGATTAATGTTTATTTCCTGGAGCACTGCACCTCCGGATTATTGTACAGACGTTAACTCAGCTTTTGTAACACCCATGCTGAGGTCACTGATAAGAGTCAACTATTTTAGCAGGATTTGTCTCCAGTGCCGTATTACTTCCACATACAAAAAAGATTTTACCAGTATCCACACACTCATGATCTGTCAGTTTAAAGCAGAACTTGACACTGAGCCAAATAGCGTGTATTAGGAGCAGTCAAATTTGGAATTGCTGATGCTCAAGTTTGTAATACGGTGGAGGGACAGCTACCCTGTGATGCCATTTGAGTCAGTCCATATGTTTCAGGAATTTCACAGCACCAGAGACTGTTGTATGATACTTTAGGCACAGATAATTCAAGTTGTGATAGCTCCAAAGATAATCTCACAGTACTAAACCAGAAAATATTTGCCTATAGCCAGTGAGATAACCAGTTACAACCAGAATTTGGAAAGTTCAGGCATTCAGTGATGATCATGCCAACAAATATATAAATAAAAACCCGACACATTTCCTACAGTAACCTATGAATACAAACCTTGAGATCCCTGTGCATTAATCCTTTGCTATGCAGAAAGTCAACCGCTTCAGCTATCTGCAGAAATATCTGCAGACACTCTGTCCTTTCCCTCTCCTCTATCATGCATCTTCTGCTCATCCAGTCTTTGAGATTTTCTTTCCGGCAGAGCTGCATCTGGATGTAAAGATACACCTTTGGAGAAGTGGGCTTGACTTTTTCTGTAATATTTTTAGAAAGGTCCAGGCTTAAACTTGTTGGCCTTGGTGGAGAAACAGAGAGGGGACTTCCTGAAGCAGATTTCTTGTTATCGGATTCCTTTGTACTTTTTGCCTTATCCTCAGAAAGACTTCCATCATGCGAAACATCAATTTTATCTTCCTTACTAGAAGCATTTCCACAACCAGAATCCTCAAACACAATAGAAGAGGAGGTCCCTTCCCTCAGGTGTACAACAGGAACAGCCGAAGAACAAATTTCCAGGGAGTGACCCAGCTCGTTATTGTAGATAGTACTGTCTTCTACATCACAGCCTGTAAGGACACTGTCCTGAAGGTTTAATAGTGGATCTTCTGACTGGTGTAAGTCCCTGTTGTCTGTGGCAGAAAACTCCAAAGGAGAAAACTGGCTTCCGGATGAATCGGACTGACCACAGGGTATTCCCACGGACCTTACCCTCTCCGATGAAGCGGCAATAACTTCAATGTGCTCCTTTGTAGAAAATGGCTCTGTTCTGATCTTAAATGATGGGACATCCATTGGACTGGGAGAACTGAGTGGCCAATCAGTGCTAGAGAAACAAAATCGAGCGATCAATACAACAGAACTTCATTCCACTAGAAAGGCATTTTCAGAAGCCCAGGTTTTAGCCAACTGCTACCTCTGAGAACTGTGTCATACCATAACGGTAAATAACTACCCAAGTGCGGGAATCACTAATAACCAGGATTTAGCATCTGTTTTTCTTAGCGAGGATAATGTTTTCTCATTGAGACAAGAGTGTTGATAAAGGAAAATTTAGCAAGCTCTACTGCCTGGATTCCCAATGTGCAATCAGACTCATCTTCAGCTTGAAAAAATTCAGTCCTTTAGAATATGCATTGCGATGACTATTTAAAGTGCCTTGGAAAAATTACAGCTGTGAAACATTAATTTGGTGCCTGAAATATAAAGGTCGCTATATTCTAAAAATTGTTAGGCATGTTAAGATGTTATTATGAGACCACTAAATAGTCTTATATTAGGCCTCATTCATCATCTCTTTCCTTTCTCTTAACATCCTCTAACTCCCTTATCTAAATTTTCCATTTTTAACCTACTTCTACCAAGCTTTATAAATCGCCACTGTGATTATCCCTCGCAGATTTATGCTGAAATAAATTCATCGAACCATTGGAGTACTGAATCAGATCCATCTAAACCAAAACAACAAAGAGAAGGAAAGCAGTGGAAAGGAACAAAGAGGACAGAGATGCCAAAGTTTAAAATTGGATCACAGTAGCAATGCTCCAACCTTGCAGCCACCCAAAGATTCAATTACATGAGTTAAATTAATAACTACAAGATGTTTCCTAAGCTGAAAGAAGAACCTTAACACAACAGAGGATCCAAAAATCGAAAGACACTATGCACAAGTGTGATATATTTGTACCCTGTTCAACTGAAAAGTTGACAGGCTAAGTTAGTAACCATCTCTTTCCTACATAGTCTCTCCAACTTCCTGGATCATCTACCAGTTCTCCAGTTCTGTTGATGTACAACCTCAAATTCAATTGTTAAAAAAACACGAGTTACCTTTCATCTTTTAACCATTGTTCATCCATCTTCTCCTGCCATCTCTCAGGTGGAGCTTCCAGCCATGCATTGAAATACCGAACAATACCTGGATGTTCAAGTTTAGCTAATGCCTTGACTTCCCGCATCACCTTTTCACGAGCCAGCTCCCTAGGATTTGGGGTGAGAAGAAAAACAGAGACATGGTCACATAAGGCAACAACATAGCATAGAAATTTCTGCAAAGGAATTTAATCAAAGATAGCCCAGTATAAACCAGGCCGGTAGTACTGCTCTTCACACCAATAGACAGATATGCCTTAAATCCCACAGAGTAACTCCTTTATGTTAGAAGTGTGGGGGAGCAGTATGTGCTCGTAACAGCTAAGTATTTAGTCATCCTTTTTCAAATAATTACAGGCAGCAAAACTGAGAAGAAAAGGTTCATCTTGCTCTCAACTGTTTACAAGGATAGAAAAAAGACCACTAAACAGCAATATTCTACAGGGATATAGAAGACACTGACAGAAAAGCAGACAGACAGTAATACTTTAGTATTTCTTTTTTAGTTGGCATAACATAAGGAGACTGCATAAAGACTATCTCCGTTCTATGGACAGGAAAGCAGGTAGCCTGCTATCTTATTGAAGTAAATAATCTCTCTTCATAAGACCATAACTGGATCAAATGAAGTCAGATGGTTTTATTTAATGACTTTGAATATGCTTGGAAAAGAAGAATTCAGGCTACCTTAAATTTCTGAACAAAACCTTTAATCTTAAATAGTCACGCTTATTTAACACATTAAAAAAATAGTAATTCTAGATTTCATAGCTTTACCCCCTCCCTCTACTGGCCTGCCTGTTGCTGTTCTAACTTGAGATTTCCAGAAGCAGTGTCTCCCATCTCCCACTAAAAGGAAGTGCTGCAAGCTCTGTGTAGGGTAATTCAGCAGCATGGCTTGACCACCTATGACTGAAAGAAAAGGTAGGGGTTGTGGGACCAGAAATGAAACAAATGGACAAATGGAGTCAGAAAAGCTGGTGAGGGAGAGAGAAAAGAAAGAGAAGGTGGAGTAGGAAAGGTAAGGAGAGGAAGGAGAGAAGCAAATTAACAGCGCTACAAATAACTGGTCCTGTTATCAAAGGTTCTATTCATCAAGGAAATCAAAGGAGTTCCCATGTAGCCGCAGCATCCTCACAAGGGTCCTGCTACCCAACTATTTTAGCCAAGCAGGTCACCCTTCTGCTGTGATTACATATGCCAAATTCTCGATGCCAAAACTAAGTCAGCCCCCCCATTAAAAAGTATGTCATTCATCCTAATATAATATCTGGGAAGTCAGTTCAGGAACAGATGGTTCAGTGTAGGACGGGATCCCACCAGTCATTCATTATCTCTTCTATATCTTAACAAACTCATTCATTACCTGTTAGGTAAACGGATCCTTTTGATAGCATAGTTGCAGTCATCCACTTTATTTTTGGCTTCAAAAACTACTCCAAAACCTCCACGACCCAGACACTGAATTGGTTCAAAATCTGTCAGATATCTAGGAGGAGAAGGGTGTGAGGAAGGGACAGAAGAATGGAGGGAGGATAGAGGAGAAAAATGCATCAGTATAGACAGAAAAATAATTTATGACTAAGAGTGAAATATTCCTGTACAGGCAAAACATGCTGAATGACTTGAAGCATTTCTTGTCTTTTTTCCCTGCTCACACACTGAAGCAATCAGATGGTTACCTATTTATGAAATGGACAGTTGCTGGTTATGCGTTTATTCAGTGTCTATCACAACCCAGCAAGAGCCATTATGCATGCACATGACAGGTTGCATGCTTACTGGATCATGGACCACAGCTATGTAGCCTAAGTTTCTATACCCAAACTAGGTGGTAACAGATAAGTATTTTCTAAATCATGATTTGCCTTTAACCCCACCCCAAATAACTATTTCTGCAACTAGTCCTTCTAAGCATCCCTTCCGAAACATCACTGTTCTTAAATCTCACCACCTTTCTTATTCTTCCTCATTTTACATACTCCAATTCTTACTTTCGGTGAGTTACAAATGTACAGGAAATGGTCACATTTTCTCCACAGAGTACCATGACATGCCCCTATACACCCTTCTGTCATTCCTTCATCACAGCAACAAAGGCTTGTTCCAAATACAGTCTGCTTATTCTGCAGAGTATATAAAACATCATCTGTTTCCATCTGGAATTGCCATTCTCTGCTTTAATCCACAAACACAGAAACAGAGGGAGTAAGCACTGATTAAGAACTTCAATTTTCAGCAGAAAATATGAGAGCAACATTCCTGATCGCAGGTATCCTGTAGACTCTCCGGGATTGCTTAGACTAATCATAACTGCAATCTCCCATCAGTAATGGGGTGACAGGGTTCTTTGTGTCAGTTGCCGATTATCCTGCAAAGTCGCAGGACTAGGACTAGGGTAGGTAAGAAAAAATGAACACCTGCTCTTTCTTCCAGATAGCATTAGTTGTCACACTGACTAAAAACCCTGTACGTGTTGCGTTGAACTGAGCTCACCTTGACACGTATCCAGAGTTCTTGATGTCACTCCAGCTGGTGTCTTTAACGTCTCCACAAGTAGGCTCATATTTACTATCAGTCTGACACTGTGTTTCAGATTCCTTCCGCAGCTAACAAGGGTTACCAAAACAAGAACAAAAACCAACCAACCAAACAAATTTAACTCCTTAAGTACTTGAGACCAGTTTGTACCCGTAGATATGGCATTAAATAATTTCAGTGTAAATATCTCCAAAGATGTCAGATATGGTTGAAGCAGTCTAATCTGTTTGCTGAAGCAGTTAAGCAAATCATACATGGCAGCTGACAGCCTTCACAGGTAGATTAAACAATAAATTTAGGCTTTTGATTTTATTATCTCATTAGTTATTAACTTATTAATACTAGTCATTGCAGACTCAAAACTGAAAGAAAAGGCTAGCATAATACCTTCTGTACTTAGGATTCAAGAAAAAAATACTTACTCTGCTGTAAGGATGGGGATGGAAAAGTTTGCGTACGATAAAAGTTGTGGCCACAATGCAAAATATAATGGTGCCAACGATTTCTTTCCACCAGTGAAGCAGAAGAACAGGATCTTTTTTGCGAATGTTCTTGTAAGTCGTATCATCAAAAAATCTAACAGTGATCTGGGTACTACGTTTATTTCTCTCTCTCTTGTAGTAGGGTAAATAATAACCATTATCTGTGTATAAAAGATACAAAGAGGGCATAGATTTACTTTTGGTAACTACAAAACAATTTTGTCATCTCATTAAAAGGTTTCCTCAAGATACAGGGTATTTTTGTTTGCATGTCCCATGATTTTAAATGGCACATAAGCAAACTCAGTTAATCGAGGTTGTGGACTCCATGGCAACTAGGTCTCCAATCAAAGTCTACCACCTCAGAAGGCCTGACCACTGACAGCTTTAAACCAGAACATCTTCCACATGGAAAACTTTACACTGCCAGTCTGAGTATCTAGCACTGTTAGCAAATTCTGAAAAAAATAATTCACAAGCTTTTTCCACTCGGACCAACTATCAGTGGCAATGGCAGCACACACAGTAACACTGCAGTAGCAATTTCAGGCACTTCAAAGTGCTTTGTGTGATACTAATTGTACATAAACCACAATTTGGAAATCCTAGTTTGTGCAGTAATTTCCTGGTTCATTAAATGTTAAAAAAACCAATACCAAAACATATGTAAGATCAAACAAGTGGCCAGTTATTGAATTTCACAGATAATAAATAGGTAAACCTGGCTATTTGAAACTCTTCAAAATTTGGGACTTCCACCTACCATATGGATACTGCAGAACTGAAAGTGCTCCATTACTGTACTCTTCATGAGAATACTTGTCATTGCTGAGACACTTATCGAACTCATCAGACCCCACCAACACTGGAGTCCTGGAAGGAGAATCTAAGCATAGAAAAGACACGATTTTCTGAGCTGAATTGTTATAAAAATTCTATTCTTGTATGAATTTCATGAGAATTCCAACTGCATAATCTTAGAAAATGTCTGTTGGACCAGACCATGAGAACCAAAATTAATGCAAGGAACATTAAGAAGGGTATTTTAAGGTAACTGTTAGTTAACACCTCTCCCCCTGGCCAAAATACTAGTTTTGGACAAAGTCAATTAACTTATATTCACGTCACTGCAAAAAAATTCTTCCTTTTTGTAGAAAAATTTGATTTAGAAGACCAACATTTCATTATTAAAAAAGATCCTGTAAGATCCATAGTAAAAGAAACCAGACATTAAAACATTCAATTAGAAAAAGTTAAACAATTAATAAAGCACAAAGATAGTTCCTGAACTGGTTTACAGCTGGAAACGTTAGACTCGTTTGATACATACTGGAAATCACAAAGATGTCCTGTCTTTTCAGAGCCAGGACGGTAAATGAAACTCTTGAGTTGTTACTTACGGATTAAAGGTTTCCATTTGATTTTGGGAAGAGGAATAATTGCATTATCATTCCTGGATTCCAGAGCCTTTGGGTTGGTTGGGAATTTCTCAGAAATTCTGACTGATGACTGAAGATACAGCTGGCCCCTGTACATACCTGAGTAATAAACCATAGAACATATTAGTCTTAAGATTTAGTTCTCTTCACCCCCAGCGTAAAATTGCCCAGTTAAAGTACATGGTTAACAACATTTTGAAAATATTTCTTTAAATTCTGAGAATCTGAGATACTGACTCTCGTTACCAGGCTGGATGAATTCAGGTAATGTATTCCCTTTGTTCTAGAAAAGCAAGAGATCAGGACATCTCATTTTCACTGCTGGAGAGCTGAGGCTGCAGAAAAATGCCAGCAATTTTAAAGACCTATGCAGCTTGGGCTTTGCATTGGTAAAACTTCTTTCAAACTTCTACCCTTGTTAATGCTGGTAGACTACTCCTCAACAGCCACTACCAGGAAGGCTGGAACAAGCTGGCTTCTTCCTCGTGTTATTCTTTATCTGTGTAACCACTAACAGGAATGGTATAAGGCGTAAGGACTTAGAGAAAAAGGCTAAGGCAAACAAAGCCTTGGAAAACCAAAGCACCTCCTAGAGACAGACAGACAGCTGAGAGGAAGAAGGACCTGGGGCCACTCTATTTCAAATTGTCACAAACTACATCAAATAAATTCTGACAGCTGGATGAAAACTCAGTCACAAAATCTTAACTGAAATTTCTTCATGGTAAGTTACTGTAATCAATGTAGAGGAAAAAATGAATGTCACAAATTAGCTGGCTGGAGGCAGATATTGCTCATTGCTTACCAAGCAATAAGACTGCCTTGTTAGATATAAACCTATCTTTACAAGTTTCAAGACTTTCAATCATCTCCAATGTACTGACACTACAAAGCAGTGAACATTTCAGAATGAAAAAGGAAAAGATTTATCGTTTTGAAATGTTTTGGTTTTGAAAAAGGAAAAAAAAAAAGAAGAAAAGAATCTTTTAATTATCATTGTTTAGGCTAAACAGTCATAGATATTAATTCTGCCATACCTTCTGTAATTGTCAGAATTTCTAAAATGGGTACACAGAACTCTGACTTTGAATGACAACAGCAAAGATGACCAGAGCAGGCTAGGAAGAGATGAGAACACATCTGAACCGTTTCAAAGTCTTTAAATCAAGAGAAGGTGCCTTTCTGGGATACATATGTTAGTGAAGCCTCAATTTTTGGGCTTTATAAGCAATGTGGGTTAAATTTAACAGCCTATATTATGCAGAATATCAGACTGGACATGTTACAGCTCTTCTTAACTGTAACCTACCAGTACAGAAAGGTCTGCTTTTCTACAACCTCAACAGAGAAAAGGATAACGTTTACTACAGAAAATGCTGCAGTCGGTGTCTCACCCAAATAGACACTGGATTCTGTGGCCCCTCTGGCAGCTTCCACAAGATCTTCTTCATCTTCCAATACTTCATTGTTCGCAGTGTAACTTGTGTCATCAAACAGACTGATTGGAATTACTTTGCCATCCTTAACCAGCCATGCAGAAGCAATTGGAGTGCAAAACTGAAGAAGAGAGAGGTAACTGGAAAATTAGTGTTGTATTAACTAGATATTATATAAGAACATGCTAAACAATGTGCTTAAATTCCTTTAGTTTGTGTAACAGATGTAGCAGCTCAAAGTCAGAACTTCAGTTAAAAAAATTATAAGCAGATGTGTGCTTCTTTACAAAGCACCTGAAACCCAAGGTGAAATACATCATCTATGATGCTGCAAAACTTCTACTTTTGTAATATTTAATATTCTGCCTTTTCCCCTACCTGGTATTCCCATTCCAGATGTCCTCCTCGTTTGTTAAAAGCCATCACCTTCCAGTCAGCTACTGAGACCTTTATCACTGTATCTTTCATCATAGCTTCCTGCTCATCCATATCTGAAATAATTTTTGTTTCTTCTTTGTTCATATTTGATTTAAAATTGCTCTCAATATATCCCGCTCTAGTTTCAATATCTGGGACATAGCGCAGCTCGAAGTGACCAACGCTGAAATTCCACCTTAAAGAAAAAGAGAAAAACTGCGTAGAAACAACTTCTATATATTCCAAGGAAGTCCCAAATCCTCCGTCCAGAAGATTCTTAACCTGAATTACCTATATTTGGCCCATATTTTCACAGTAAACTCTCAGATTGTCAGATGAACACAACTGTACCAGGAGGGGGAGCGCTAATCCAGAATACAAACCTAACAAGCTGAGAAATCTCGTCCAACATGATGGGCAAGTTGAGAAAACAGCTGGTGCAGTAGGGCCAATGGCATTAAAGGTTTAGTATATGGAGAGGGCAACTAAAATCATCAAGTAGTACAGCTGGATGTCTTTAGGTAAGAAAATGTTACATAGCTGATGAAAGCAACAAGTATAAAGCATTTAGGAAGCAGCATTCTACACAAGACATTTTTCTTCATTAATAAAGCGGATTTAATTTGAAATGTAAGGTTTTTCAAACTGGGGAGAGACAATGCTATTTTTTTGTTTTAACCACACACACAACCTAACATAGGATCTGTTTGACAGATACTTCATGAAACCAGGACTGCTCACGTCCCATAGGTTAACACTGAAAAAAGACAACTGTATAAGGAACACAGACCTGCCTTGCATAGCCAAAAGCTCTTTAATATTTGTAAACCAAATATTAAAACAAATTAGGGCAGAAACTGAAAATTATTTTCAGAAAGAGAAATTCTTTTCCTATTTCCATGATACAGCCCAACGCTGTAGAGAAGATACAGAGGGAAAGGATGGCAAGTTTGTGTTTTGAAGAGCAAGAAGGGGGAAAATATTTCTTGAACAGTATGTTTGGGTACCCAAAGTTTCTTAGGACCAGTCTGGCATCAACTAGGAGCCAAAACTGTCTCCTTAAAGAATATACACCTCTATGATAAAAGTTTGGTGTATTTTATACATTCAGTTGATTTATTAAAAGCTTTTCTTTCTCTGGATTAAAAACACAGCGCTATCTTGTGAACACCATAGCAACAATACCGTGCCACCAGGAAAGCACCTCTGTTTCTGACTACAAAGACAGGAGGATTCAGGTGTACAAGATGTCATGCTCTGTTTTTGAGAGATGTACAAAGGAGAAAGCATGTTCTTATGACATACTTCTCCCTGCCACTATCAGTCTCCAAGAACCACGGAATCCAAGATTTCTCTTTTAAGACTTCTGATCTGCTAATCTATTCGAGTTCTAATTAGGTTATCTCTGATACACTACAGATGCACAACCTGTCAAATCCTGCTGCAAACAGAAGAGGGAGCAGGGGAACAGGGAACGACTAGTTCTCCACTAAATTGTTGGGCAGTTACTGTATCTGTGTATGGCAACCAGCCTTTTAAGCCTGCACTTTATGAAGTGGGTTTTGGGTTTTTTTCTGTGGAATGCATGTCTGTATTTTTATAGAAATCTTGATGTATTAAAACTTCAATGTGACAGCATTAGGAATGTCACAGACTGAACCAGTTTCTGTAGAGAACAGACACGTCATTATGAAATGAAAAAAGTAGATTTAAGAATGAGATAAGACTGAAGACATTTTAAAATCAACTTAAAATGAAAGCTAAAGACATCAAGGTTAAAAAAAAAACCAGTGACAGTTACCATGAGTACGTAAAGAACCTGAAAGTGAACCAATAAGTCATAAGACGACTTTGTCTTCTTTTGTACAAAAATCAACAGCTGGAACAAACATTAGTGACAGTTGCCTTGTGCAGTAGGAGCAGTGACAAACTCTTTCAAGGTATGCAAGGACAAAAGAAGTAATTTTCATTTGATTTAGAGGGAATAATATGTGCACATATCTTTTCTGTCTAATCATCTGTAAAACTGAAGTTCAAGACATTTTTCAAAAGCACTGAAGAGCAAAGGGGTTAGATCCTAGCCAACAGTCTGGTGCATTCCTTTGGTTAACGATCTAAACTCCCTCATGCAATTTCTAGTCTAATGAGACTGAAAAGAAGGTCAAATCCTTAAAACATTACGTATTAAGAACTTAGCTCTATCAGATTGTTTCTGAACAATTCTTACACTTACTTTTCATTGCCACTGCGTGGTCCAACAGCACGGACTGTTTTCTGGGTTCGGTGCAATAGGAGCGTCTCTTCCTGTTCTGTTTCATCGTCATCCCACCGGCGACATCCCATAGCTGAGCAGATGTACTTCACCTAAGGGACAAGGCAGGAGAGTCACACGTGCTTGGAAGTTCTGCAGAACTTCAAGACAAACAAATGTAATCAACAGCAATATTCAAAGCTAACAATCCTTACAACACATTTTTGGCACCCAGGCGATTTGGAGCTCTGAGATTTTACATGCTCGACTTGAGAGATGTTGAAAAGCCTGGCTTAAGAGATAAGTGCATTTCGAACTGTAGTTTTCAAAACACTCTAGAAAGCTTACAGTTTGGGCTATCTTTGACTACCTTTTGGCTAGGAAGCCTACAGTTTGGGCTACCTTTGACTACCCTTGACATAAAAAACTACCATGAATGTTTTTCTACATCTAACAGAAAGAAATCTTAGCTCTCTCTTTCCCCACTCTTTCTATGGGCATCGAAAGATCATTCCTACAAGGCCCACAGCATAATTCTGCTTTTGTGCCATATTTGCCTCAGCATAACTCTATTAGCTTCAAATGAAGTACTATTGATTTATATAAAATACCGCAGAGCCTTCCCCCTTTGCCTTGTCAGCTATTAAAGGGGAAAGAAGACATTATTTAACTCTCACAGTCATACAGACTTTGCAACAGCCTCAATCTCAAACAGAATTTGGATTATACAGGCAACTTATTTTGAAAACCGAGTTGAACACTTTCAGGAAGTCTGAATGGACATTGTACTGCCAAAGACAACAGACTGCCCAAACTCTTAACGAGGAAGAGTCAGGCACTATTTCCTGTATGAGGCACCTTTGCTACTGTGAGCATAAGCCAGGAATCGAAGCAGAAACCCGAAACTTCCACTTCCTGAACACTGTTTACAGCTATGACTGAATAGCCATATCTTACTGTAGAAATGAAACCTAGCCTGACTGATGAAGAAGGAGCACCTATTCAATTTCAGCATCAACTTCACGTAAAAAGTAGTGATAAATTCAGAGAAAAGAACCTAAAACAAAGAGAAGGAGGAGCAGTCTGTTGGTGCACAGTGCCCTCTGCTATCAATGAGGAAATCAAAATGATTTCATGAACTCCTGTTTTGGGTCTATGCTCTTTATCACTACTGATCACTTTACACCATGCCATAGAAGTGTTCTACATTAAAATGCATGGTGAAAAAGGGAAAAAAAAAAAAAAAAAAAAAAAGATTTTGTGGAAAACAAACATTGGAAATTTAAGGTATTGAAACTTAAAATTTTTTTTTAACTGGTTTTAAAATGCACCAATGTTTCTGATTTAGCAAATGTCTGTTCTTCACTACACAAAGAATCTACAAGCACTTTAATGACATCTAACATTAAGGGGGGAGGGAATGTCAATTCTAGGACTCTGAATAATGCAATTAATTCCTGTGCTTTTCCTAGCCTTTTTTTCTTCTGTGTTTTTTAAAAATAACCACTTCTAACCAATGGATTTCAGAAGAAAAATACCTTCTGAACTAGTCAATAGTAAGTAGTTTTCAACTTAACTTTTGCATATGACTTTAAATGTAAGGACAACTTCTTCTAAGAGATAGTAAACTTGCTGACAACAACTACAAGTCTTAAACTTTTGCATATGTTGAGTGTTTTTCTTGTTTTCAACCAGCTATCCCTCATTAGTTGCAAAAAATCCGAAATTAGTTGTGAAAAAAGTGTGTCACCTAAAGCTCTCTTCGATATTCAGTAAGCTGAACAGCAAAGTCTACTTCAAGCAGAGCTATATGATAAAGCTGAACTCCTCTCCCAGCTCGGTAGAAAGGGGTCATCCCTCTTTTTTCCCCTCACTCACCTCTGGTCACAAAACCCCCGTCCCTTCCCTTGTGCTGGCTCTGGCACTCCCCAACCCCTTGCTGAGCTGGCTACAGCTAACCCCGCGCAAAACTAATCCAATAAAACGTGAACAGTTTTCTGTTGGGTTAGCAAGTTGAATCAGCTTAGGAAAGGGTGAGACAAGTGTTAAAGCCATCACAGGGTATACAGCAGGAGCTCACAGGCAGGAGGAGACTGCAGTGAGGGTCTCAGCCATACCATCTAACCGCACCAGCCGTTAGCCTTACTCCAGCCCGCTGCATTTGCTGCCCAAGAAGCTCAGATTCTGCTCTTTTGTGCCATGCAGTTGTATACTTGAGCTGTACTGCAGTTTAAATCTCAAGAGCAACCTATTTGCAAGACAGTGCTCAAAACACACATACACAAGGCAACTTTTCAGGCTCTTACCTTCCCTGAGTATGAGCTCAGCCCATAGGTCGTCAAAGACTTTCCTCCAACTAAGACAACGTCCTCGCCAAATTTGTAGGATGACTCGAGGAGAGATTCAACTGTGAAAGGAACTGCTTCCATGCTCTCTCGATCCCGATCCCACTGGAAAAGGTCCCCATCCAAGGAAGGGATTATCATCTTATTTCCAAATACCTACAATAATTGAATTGAAGGTTAGCTCCCATTTAACCACAACTTTATCAAAACACACAGATCACAAATGGAAACAGAAACGCTGTATAAGCAAGTACAGTGAATTATATTCCAGTGTCCTATTTTATGGTTTCATATCTTGGAGTCTTATTTTTCAAAGTTATACCCAAGTTATACTCAACTTTCAGGTATTCAAATCAAATCTGTATGTCACTATTCTTAGTTAAAAAAGTTCAGTGTGTGACACTTCTTCCACTTTAAGCAAAACATTTTAAAGCTCAATCAGTTGATAGATTAGTATTCATCCAAACTGTAGAAAATATGATACGGGCAGTAGCATTCTTGAAGAGACAGTCACTGGTTAAAGTTCTGCAGATTATTTGTGATAGTTTCAAGACAGTGGCATTGTAGGTAAAGTTCTACTTCATTGCTGTTTTTTTCCCCAGAGCTAGTTTACTGCTAAACACAGAATCAATCATTCTCTCTAGATCAGAAGACTGAATTTGGTTTTAAAATAAAAGCTGAGGCTGTATGTGAACTCTTTTACAACTAATGACTATTCCAGAATATCTATCCTCCTCTAAAGCAGAGAGGGCAATTATCATTGAGATCAAAACTCACATTTCACCTTTGCCTTTCCAGACAGTTAAATCTAACTTCTCCTCTCCAGAATTTCTTATGTTTAAGTATACCGTTCCTTTAAAACTTGCCCGGCTTTTTCTTAAACACGCAAGTCAAAAAAAAAAAAATCTTCACCAGGATATGGCATTTCATCCATTACACTGAGATTTTCAAGGAGATCCTAGTTCGGAAGTATGAGTCATTGTCAATGAGTACTAAGGGACTTATTAAGAAACTCATTATCAGCATGATAGACCATAACTAATACTGTGGAGCCACAGTGGCTGTGCCCACCAAGAACAGTGAGAAACTGTAATCCACATAATCTCAGCTTTTGAGGATTAACATGGAAGATTTTAATGCTTTTTCAGAACCTCTGTCCATTTGGGCAATACCCTACAACATAATTACATTAAATTCAGATACTTTACACATTAGGATTTAAAGACTACTTCTGGTACATGTATATTAGTCACTTCAAACAAAGTATTCCTGCTCAGACTCCAAGGCGCAGATGTGTATTACGAAGCCATACAAAAGATCCAGAAGGTTTCTGGTTATTATTTCTGGAACCACTGTGAGGATCTGAAACCACATCTTCTGCATGATTAAAATTCTCTCTAACATGAGACTTTTTATTCCTCTAACTGGGTCACAGACGAGCAAACAGCATTAAGCAAAGTTGAGATTCACCTGAACAGGGAAGGAAAGACAGATCTTGTAAATGCATGCATGTCGTGACTACTACCTCTTCTTGCACTGTTTGACACACCTCATTCAAAGAGAAAATTTAAGTGAGTTACACCACAATGCTGGTGACTGTATTTAAGATCCCTAAAGGATCCAACACTGATGCTTTCTGGCTTTGAAAAGCCTCATGATGACTGACAACTAAAATAAAAACTCCTCACAGGAGCACAATGTGTAATTGAAGAGATGATAAAAATAAACCCCTGGGAGTAGCTGCGAAGGTCTTTACAAAGCAGAATGAGGTATGTTCTTTCCCTCCCAGATATTTGCCTTATGGCAAAAAAGGCCAAACATCCTGGAAGAGACATTGCATGAGATATTGTGCATGTGATGCACAAGAAATGTTGCATTATAGCCTACCGTTGGGGAGGAAAAATACACACACGCGGCTCTATACATATGCTTACAGAAATAAACCAACAAAAAAGCAAAAACTTGTGTGAGGAGGGGTCATTTGTAGAAATCACCTGATCAGTGCAAAAATAAAGCAAACAAATAAGGTTTACATAAACATTCATATTTAAGAGCAGCCTTGTGATTTGAGAAACAAAGGCATGCAGATTTTGGAAGATACCTTTTTGAAAACAAAAGACACCAGTGCTAAAGTTGCAGCTGTAACCCCGTTGGAGTATCTTGTTAAAACATTCAACACAGAAGAGTAATATTATAAAATGTTTTTGTAATATATTTTTTCAGAAATGCATAGTAATTTTGATGACAACTTTTAGCCTGTGCAGCTGTTACTTTGCATTAATAAATCCTCTGTAAGGTTTCTTCCTGCACATGGTCCAGATACCTGCAAGTAGTTTGGAGACCTGTGCTCACCTCCAGCAATATGAGATATTCCATATATAAATAAGAATGAACAGCAAAGGTTCTTTTTATAAGCAGCTTTCTAAATATACAAAAGCCAAACCAGCTCCTGTACGCTGTTTCGGCACACAGAGCCCAAGCCTGGCAAACCCAGCCATAAACTGTCTTCAAGTCGGATCCTGAAGAAATTCTACTGGCCATCAGTCAGCTGAATTCATACAGCGTGATCAAACTAGACGCGTGCCAGTGGCAGCTCGACAGCCACTTTCAAGTTCAGACTTTCAGATACACTTGCTGGAAGCCGTAACTGCAATGGCTTTGTAATGTGGCGTGCTCCAAGGGCTGCAAAGCATCCCATCAGTTTGTGAAGAGAGAAGGCAGCGGTGTGAACTGCCCAGGAATCGCTGCCGAGCAAGGGAGACTCTTGGTGGGTAACTCTGCGAGCTCTGGGGACAGCGTGACACACGTCACCTTAAGCGTTTCCCTTGTCCTGACGCTCTTGCTCCAGAGCCCGAGTAGGAAATTTTCCACTATCAAACAACAGGCAAAACGTTGGCCATTTCTGGGAATCACACACCCAAATTCCCAACACATACGAAGCTCAATCAGCAACCCGCACTTGTATACTCCCAAGATATGGGTCAAATCAGGTCATGGCTTGTATGCCTTCAAAAATTCCCCAAGAGTGGGGTGCTGCCTGCTCATCTGTTAAAACCTCGGTCCCCATCAGCTGGGGAGGACAGACGAGACTGTTTCGGTCAGCTCTGCTGATCACCTGCCCCTGCTCCCAACCTTGAGGGCGCCTACGGGAGCAGCACGTCCTGTGTGACATTGGGAAAAAAAGGCTGAGAAAAGACACAACTGCTGTCGGCGAACACATCAGGAAAGGGCGCGCAGGCAGCGGAAAGAGCTATTGCACTGAAGGACAATGCCAGAGTACGAGCAGATGGGGTTAAACTGACCGTAAGTAAGTGCAAGCTAGACATTTCGGTTACTAACCATCACAAACATGGTATTTCACAACAGAAACAGAACAGAGGAAAAAAAAAAAAAAATCCCCTTCTTTTAAGATGAATCTATATATAAGTGGGATTACATGACATGGTGCTGACAAGGGACTGCACCTGATTACCGCAAAGGTCCACTTTTACTAAAATAGGTTTATTTGAAGAATGGGGCAGGCATGCAAATGTGCGTACTTGCAGGTGCACACACACACACACGCACACGCATGTAACAAAGGCATTTGTGGGCACTTGCGTTGACATCTTTTAAATGAGCAGTTTAGCCAAAGGCTTTAGGAGGACATTAATAATAACAACTCCTATCCGAGTTATGCAGTTCATACTCTAGTACATCAGAAGCAGCAAAGGGACTTTCCTTGAAAGTACTAGCAACTAGCATCGGCATGCAGCTCAGGTAAAGGAATGACATCACCCTGTATCTCAAAAGCATTACCTCATCTCCTAATCCAAGGAGTGAGTCACCCAGGCAGTCAGCTGCAAATCTCTTGGCACAGAAAATGTAGGTTACCACGATGCACTTACACATTCCTCTGATCTGTCAATGTAAATAGCTATTTGTTCAGCTTCACTGGTCAGCAATATGGCACATAATTGTTAAGTGGCTTGTCTTTCAGAAGTAACACTTAAAAAAAACCCCCACATTAACTATCAAGCCCTAAATGAGACGCTGCTCTTTTGCTCATTAAGAGTTTGGAGCTGAAGTTCTCCATTGGCTCGGCGCGGGGTGCCGCAGCCCTATCAGCGGCGCGGGCTGCTCAATCTCCAGGCCGACGGGTGAGGTAATGCAGTTTCTAAAAAGCCTTCACAAAAAAGCAAAAAGGCATAACGATCCGAAATGGCATATGCTACCAGGGAATTTGCTGTCTAGACTCTTTACTGGAAAGGAGGGCACCACACGCGAGGTTCCACAGCAGGTTGATCGGTGCAGGAAGAAAGCTGCTGATTTATAGCTGGGGGGTGGGGGGGGAGAAAGAAGAAAATTGTTGTAAACAGAGATCAAAACAAGCTGAAGTACTAAAGCTTCCACAAGCTGTTTAACAGTAAGTGTGACATTCACTTCCCATGCCTAAGACTCTTTATCACACGAAGCAAAAATCAAGCCTGCTCACGTGCAGACACATCTGAGACAAGTCTGGTGCCAAAAAAGTCAATATTGTCATTTTCAGATGGGCTGGACTTTCCAATAACTCCAAGGAAATAACTAAGCACAAGTAAAATACTGTCTTTAGAATAGGAAGTGTTATGTATTTACATTTTTCTAACACTTCAGCTCATGGTTTTCAAACCTTACTCTTACGATAAACTGCGAGAGATTTATTCCAGTTACTGATTAACTAAGACTAACCTATATGATCTTAAATGGTAAGGGTACCAATTTTTTTCCTCTATGATTATCTCTACAATAGGATCACTGTAACAAATAGGATTAAAGCCAACATCAGGCATTTTCTTAAGAAAGCTACTTCTCAGTGAGAAGTCTTTTAAACCCCTCTAAAATTAATCTAGGCAACACATTAAAAGCCACATATGACAGCTTCACTCTAAAGGGTAGAAACAAGAGTCTGCACAAACAAATCTGGGAAAGAGAAAGCAATCATTGTATGTTCCACATTTTTTTAAAAAATGTATAGGCATACAGTAATACAGGTATCCCTACTATAAATGTTTACAGATTTTTCAAGTGAGATATACACACACACACCCACACACACACAGGGCAAGGTCTTGAGGTGTCCCTAGTTCAGGTTGGTCTGGAACTAATTTATTGTCCGCTCTTTTTTGGCATGCATG